TGGTTGTGGGGCTTGAACTCTGGGCGCTGTCCCTCAGCTCTTCAGCTCAAGGCTAGCACTCCACCACTTGAGCCACAGCGCCACTTCTGGCTTTTTTCTGCTTATGTGATGCTGAGGAATCAAACCCAGGGCCTCATGCATGCAAGGCAAGCACTCTACCACTGAGCCACCTTCCCAGCCCCTGCAAAATTATTTTTGCAAAAAAAAGACTGGATGCCCGTGGTTCATGCTTGGAGTCCTAGCTCTTAGGAGCCCAGTGGCTTTTGTTCTATTGTCAGACGTGGACTCAGTTGTGGAAATTGTTTTGCTGGTCCCCCCAGAGCCACCCCCTAGTCCCTACCTTTCCATGATCGCTGGAAGGCCCTTCCATGCCTCCTGCAGCCACTGCCGCCCTGCCCCGCCCCACCCAGCCGCCAGGCAGGGAGCAAGACCAGAGGTGACTACAGGACTCTGCTCATGAGACCCAGGGGTCTCCGAGGTCTCGGGCACTGCTCGGCACTCCACGTGCTTCCCAGCAGCACTGCCGCGCCCCGCCATGCCCCCTGCCCTGCAGAGAGACCTGGGTGCCCCCCACGCGGGTGTCCCCTTGCAGACCTGCTTTTGCTGCATTAGAGGACAGGTTCCCCGGGGGCCTGGCGCGTGCAGTGACCTCAGCCAGACAAACCAGGGAACTTTAAAACTGCCATCTGCTTTATTGACAGGTGAATTGCTCAAAAATGTTCTCACAATTCAATAATTACAAAGACTCAGACTGACATTAAAAAAGTAAAAACCAGAACCCCCAAACCCAGGGGGCACCTGGCCCAGCATGAGCCCGGGGGGGGCGTGCGCACTCGGGAGCCGAGCAGAGGTGGTGTGAGGACCTCACCTGCAGGGCACGAGGGGAGATTAAATACACGCAGTAGTCAGCACGCGGCAGCACGTGCGCGTGCATGGCCGGGCCTGGCATGGGGGGGGGCGCAGTTCTAGGTGGCAGACGGGGCTGGTGCGGGAGGAGGGGGTGCCAGGAGGCGCGGGGCACTGGTCGGGGCTCCATGCAGGGAGGGGTGAGGAAGGGCCCAGGGCGGCTGGGTGGCCCCGGGGCTCTGCCACGTCCTGGCACATGGTGGCTTGGGAGACACTCGGGAAGGGCGGGCACGCCTGTGCCGAGGCCGGTATGGGCCGGCTGGCAGGACACGCGATGGCCGCACTGAGGGGTCAGCAGGATCTTGGCAGCTGACCACTCAAGCGCCGAATGGACGAGGCCGCGGTGGCGGACGCCTGTCCTGTTCTCTGTGCTCTGGCTGAGGAAGGGGCGTGGGAGGCACGGAGCCCGGGGCAGCTTCGCTGGGGGCCCAGTTCTCCCGGCCGGCAGCTGAGGCCGGGGCCAAGCCAGCGCCTCCCAGAGGTTCGGCGGGAGAGGTGCGTGGTCCTTCATGTGCAAACGGAAGGGAGGGTGCCTCTGGTCTCCCGACCACGTGGTGAAAGACGGATCATTACTATAATAGACTTCTCTGCATCTCCGTATCTACAAACTGACTCTCCACCTCCTGCGGTGCGGTGCGGTGCGGCGGGGCAGGCAGCTCAGTCTCGGCGCTGGGCGCTGGGTTCAGGCGTCCCAGGCCGGCTGCTCCAGGCCTTCCAGGGGGAGCTGGCCGCGGTGGGGCGAGTTGGGGCTCGGTGGGCCGCTGGGAATGGAGCTGTTTGACGGGGTTGAGTGTTTGGTGGAATCAGAGTCAGGCTGGGAAAGCAAAGGGGACACGTGAGGGCCAAGCGCCGGGCTGTGGAGGGTCATGCGGGGGTCACGGGGGCTGTGGGAGCCCCGGTCAGCTGCTCCTCACACTCCACAGTGAGACCACCACCCTTCTGTGCTCAAAAGTGATCGAAGAAAGTGAGCTGCCAAGCCCAGAAATCACATACACCATGCTTCCAGGAAAGGCTCGAGGTGGAGGGAGGGAGACAGAGGGGGTGGGGGAGAGAGGGAGTTCTTCCATGGAACAGGGACATTATGGAAAGCCCGCAGTGATGTCATAGTCCAGGGTCAATCAGGAACGTGATAAGGATGCTCACCCACAGCTGAGATCACTCTCAAAGCTGACATCACAGACAACCGTGAGGTCAGAACATCACAGACGCAGCTCTAGCGCTGCTGTTCAACGTCACAATGCAAGTTCTAGCCTGACAGTTGGGCAAGAAAACACTTCCAAGGTGAAAAGGAAGCGAACCGACCTATTTGCAGATGACACTATTCTCTACATGGAGAATCTCACAGAATCCACACAGACCCCAAAGAGAACTCAGCTCAGCTGCAGGGTTCAAGAACAACACAGGAACAACAGCTTCTATAGGCCAGCAATGAACAA